GCGCCCGCACAGCCACAAACGAACGAGTTCAGAAAGCATATGCTACGATAACGAGGCTCCTTGCAGAGACGCGACGCGGTGGACCTTTGGGCCCCGCAGCCGCCGCACCCCTCCACGCCGAGGGTGCTGGGGGCGCGGTTAATACAGGAGAAAGGAGCTAAAAAACCGCGCCCGCCGCATTCCAACGCAGCATAAAAAAGAAAACAGAAAAAAAACATTCAATAAATAAAGCAATGAACAGGTAGATTAACAAATAACATTTCCTTTTATTTTACCTGGTGGGGGGACGCATTTCCCTTCTGCGATTTTCTTCTTTTCTTCCCTTTTGCCGTATTAAGCTATCCAATCCTCTCTTTACAATCGATGCCTTCAATTCAAGCCCACTATAGCGCCAGCACAATGGCCAACTGCAACAGTGACCCCGTAGAAACACCGAAGAGGAGACACACGCCTGTGGCTTGCCCAGCCAAAGCCCTCTCGCCATCGCTGTTAAGGCCTTCTGTGTCAGGTGTGTAGGAGACAGAAATTGTGGCAAGGTATCCGTTTGTCATTCCCAACACACCAGACACTGTGTAAGCGGCAGCGAATGTGGGGATGTATCTTTTTGCACAGAGAACCAAAATAGGGACAAGTAGCGTTCGCACCAATGCGCCGATAACCACCCACCTGCGAGGAACCCAACAAGCCTTAATCAGGCACAGCAAGCGTCCCACAAGGTCAGCAGCATTGAAAACTGCTACGACAATAGTCCCGTACCATGGATCTTCCTCGTCCATTGCCAGCATTACACCAGGAAAGAGCAGAAATGAGAGAAAATACGCGTAAAAGCATGAAAACTGCATGGGGTATATCTTCTTGATGATAGGCCAGAGTTTCACCGTCTGAAGCAGCTCTGCCGTCGTGGGCCCCTCAACAGATTCCGCCGGGGACGCTGACGCATCACCCTCGTCTTGTTTGGCCTCCTCCTCCAGCACCTCCACAGAGCCCGTAGTTGGTTCAGGAGCTTCTTTGCGCTTCCGGTAAATGTTTGCAAAAAATCCGCGCTTCGAACGCAGTTCTGCGACGTGCCTCCTGGAAAAGGAGTTCTTTGACAGCGACCACAGCATGATCATTGTCACGACAATGATCCCGATAGCAATGCTGAAGTAAATAAACGCTTGCTTTCGGACCGAATAATAGTCATCTGCCATGGATGCCTTAATAGTGATCTGCAGCACCGACATCACAAGACCCGAAACGGCTGCACCGATGACAAAAGCACCAATCATAATGGACGGAAAAGGGCCAAACAGCGCGTATCCAGTATTCTCATAGAACGCTCGTGCAAATCCTCCCACAAACGCCATTATCATCAACGCGGCAATGGCGGCATTTTCGGAGGTAGAGGACGAAACGGGGATTAACAACAGCACCAGTAACTCCAGCAGCATGAGCACACAGGAAGCGTAGAGCCGAAACTTCAGAGAAAGACGGCAGCAGAAGGTGGTGAGGTTTACGGGTTCAAACACTGTCTGTGTCACCATGGTGACAACCAAATAAAATGTCAGTACCGTCCTCCAAAATTTCGCATTTCCCGGCTTGGCGTTCGGGTCATTCGCAACATACTTGTAGTAGTCGGTCATGTAACTGGGAGCTGAAGTCACCGCACTCACGCCCATCACCATGGTGATGCCCATGACGATGCTTGTGAGAAAGGTCCAAGCCTCTGAATAAGAATTTATTATTGCCATCCTCTGGTCAAGCTGTGACACCTCACCTTGGCGTGCGCTTTCTCCAATTAATAGTATTCCGGCGCTTGTGTTACTTTTGGCTCGTTTGCACAACAGATGACGTTTCAATTGAAACATGCAGAGAGGGGGTAGGAAGAGGGAGGAGTCAAAGCAATGGATGAGGTTTATACCGCCTTCAAGCACAACACGTCTTACAGGACTCCGCAAGCAGACTAAAAGTGACATCCGTATGGGCCCTCCTCACCTCGGCCTGCAGCGTACGCAGCAAACACAGACAATGCAAAAAATAATAATAATAATAATAATAATAAATAAATAAATAAATAAATAAACTTCGCCCAGAACCCAAGCCCTACTCACTGGCTCGGGGATAGTGAAATGGGTTCCTGCGACGAATGCCAACAAAGCGTGCCCTATTTCGCTT